TATGTTTTTTCAAATTTCCATTCAAAAACCATTCCCAAATCAAATCACCATTCCATGGATGGTAGCCGGTATGTCGTCTTTCTATTTCTAATTTAGAAAGAGTTTTGTGAAATATAGAAGATTCAAATAATGTCTTTAAAATGTTACCATTATCTGTTATAATACTTAAACTTTCCAAATTAATTAATTGCTTAAGTTGGAATAAATAAACCAGATTCCAACATGGCAACAAATCCTTCATGCAATTGCATTCCCCAATCAGTTTCCGATACAGAATCTCTCATAAATTTACTATTTTGAAAACAATCCCTTCCTTCACATTCCAAAGTCAATGAAGATTGTTTAAATTTTGATCGGATCGTTGAACACGAATTACACATAGATATCCAAGCCTTCACTCCCGACATGTACGGAATCAAGTGAAAGAGAAAGATATCAGAAGGTAAATGTTGCAACATTTTTTAAAGTATTTTTAGATTGGTGGCAATTCTTGGAAACTCAATGAGAAATAAAGAAGTGTGAGTTGCAAGTTTCAAAAATTGCAACCGGCATTTCCATACTTTATTGTTTACAATAAGTATTGAATTTGCTGAAACGTCATCCTGTGAGAATAAAGTTTTTTATGACATTTAACAATAATTCACGGTTCTTTCAACTTTTGTTGGTTCGCAACATTTTGCAACATTTCAAATTCCAGCGCCAAAAAGAAAATTTAAAAAAAAAATGCAACAACGACCTAATTCGTACCAAGTCGTGTTCGATCTTTCGGAAGATGAAGAGGAGGAAAATACATTTTCAAAGGCTAAAAAGATCATTTCATCACCACCTAGCCTCGATCCAGAAATAAATAGTAAGAAGAGAAAAAGTTCTGTGGTTTCTTCCAATGACGAGGAATCACCATCATCAGGTTCGGAAAAACAAACAAATTTTAAGAAGGTAAAACAGGATAATAGATCGACTATACATAAGAGTATTGATAGTTTTCGGAAGATGAAAGAGGCTGGACATTCTGCTTCAAAGGTTAGTCATATCTCTGTGATATCGGATAGTAGTGATGAGGAGAAAAGTCCTCCTTCAAATAATTCTGCCATATTAATATCATCTGATGAGGAAGACGATGATGTTGATTCTTCTGTACAACATATTCTTAATTATAGAGGCCACCATGCATCGAGTAGTAATGTTAAATCTAGTCCTAGTAGTAGTAAATCAAAGCCTGCTAAAGCTAGTAGTAGTAAAGCGGACAGTGAAACAAAATACACAGTTCAAACATATCTGAATTTTAAAAAAAAGAGAACGTCACGACAGGATACAGATTCTGACTCTGAAGAGGATAGAGTAGTTTCTCCTGAAAAAGTTTCGAGAATTTTAAGGAAAACTCGAGAGAAGAAACTTTCGGAAAGAGAATTGGAAGACTTTATTGTTCATGAGGATGAGGACGAAGAAGAGGAAGAAAG